TTAATGCCTTCATTCAGCAAGCCCCTTTAAACAGTCAGTGAAGAAGAGTAGATACTCTGCAGGAAATTTAAAAGCACATTACGTGGGTCTCCTGCTGTGCTTTGCTTTTGGAGACATTTCTCTCTCTCCACTGACCTGGCTCCCTAACAAGGCATGTAAACTAGGGAATCCCCTCAAGTCTGCTTGCTTGCAAGGTCTGCAAAAGGGAGATGTCCAAGATAGCAGCCTGGCATAGCTGTACTTCTGACCAAATCAACTAGTATCACCAGAGGTCAACTAGGATCTAAAGAAATGGCACTGGAGGAGCAGGTTTAACACCCCAAGTCTATTGGGGAGAGAATACAGCATTACTGATTTCAGCCCCTGACCTTGAAATGATGTAAACAGGAGTGCAGCAATCCTAGAGGAGTTGTAGCAAAATAGTTATAGCATTGCAAGCAGATTAAAAATACAGTTAATATACATACTTCCCCAGATGCTTGTTTATTATTATGCAAGACGTGTTTATTATGCAAAAAGATAAAGCAGAAGAAAGGTGAGGAAAAGAAAATGCAAAGACACACCAAGCTCTTAACGTGACTTGGGTTTTCTCAATGCTGTTTAGACATTTTTTTATTGTGCATAATCATTCCCTTATTAGCAGAAATCTTTGAAGTGATTCAGGCTCTAATTTCAGCATTTCAAACTCACAGGTTTATCCTGTAAAAGCACAGTGAGCTCTCGTAAGCGACCCATTTTTCCCCCTCTGTATTCTGTGTCTCTGCTAGGGTTTTCTCAGTCTTTCCAATAAATTATGTATCACGATTTGCCATTTCAAAAATAATTAGAACTCTGAGTTAAACAACAAGGAATAACTGAGAGCAATACATTTCAGAAGAGAAGTGTTTTGCACTTGGGGCAAAACTAATCTCAGCTGCAATGCCACTGAATTATACATATCATCGTATTGAGAGCTGCACTTTCAGTGTACTTGAAGTGACTGGGTGGACCTGTGGAGGCTCTACAGCCCCATGATGGTCTGCTCCAGGAGAACCAGCTTTGCCTTTCAGGCAAAACACTTCACCCTTCCTCATGCCCCTATGAGTTGCTGCAGCCAGGGATAACGGAGAGAAAGCTGAGCACTGAGGAGAGAAACTCCACGAAGAAAGGTTATAGAGGAGTACGAATTCATTTGGTGGTGGAACTATTAACTCCAGGCAGACAGGAGAGCATGTTCTGTGTCTTCTCCTGTTATGATTAGGCTGTAAACTCACTGGAGCAGGACGTACCTCTTTATTCTGTGTTTCCCTCTCCTGTGCAACAACCAGCCTTTGGTCTCAGCTTCCCAAATGCTAAGGCACTACAAGTAATACCCACTGCCCTTCATTCATTCTGTGTATTTTCACTTTGGCATAAAATGCTAACAGTGGATCCTCAGGAGAGTCATGTCCCTCCCCAGAACAGGTGCTGATCGAAACCTTTGTGCACCATCAGGGAATTTACAGCTGCTTTACATTACAGGAAATCAAATGGGAACACACCAATGACTCTGGGAGTTTGCTATGAAGACAGTCTTTTGCATCCTACCTTCTGCAAAGCCAGGTGCCTTCAACCAAGACATTATTTTCTTATCTACTAAGTACCTAATTCCCAAGTAGACCTCAGAGGTAGCAATAACCTAGTCTAGGGGAAAAAACCCAACAGGTATCTAGTGCAAGCAAACAAGGCACAAGACTCAAACAGCTGCTTCCCAAGCAAAGAAGCTTTAGTGTCTAATGCATTTAGGCCTCTGAAGCTGGCTAGGAATCTATGCTTGGCTTCAACCCAGCAACCCAACCCCACACTATTCCTGCCTGAACAGATGAGGTAGTGATAAGGAAACTCATTGCTGAAGGAATCAACGTAGCCAAGCCCATCGGAAGGTCTTGCATGTTTCTGGAAAGTGCCATCTCACGAAGTCTGGCTTTAGAGGACTCCACTCAGCCCTACGTTTGTGCTAATCAACACCAGGAACACTTTTTCCAAGGGCTGGTTATTCTAAGCCCCTTCATTCAAGAGCCCATTGGCCCAAACCCTGGAGAAGCTGGCACAAACCATCTCTGAGTCCAGGCTGATAATAGTCTCTGGTTTGATCCAGTGCAGAGGGTGTCAGCCAAGATCTCGGCTGTCACACAGAGATAAAATATCACTCTCCCCCCACCACCACCAAAACCAAAACCAAAACCAAAACAAACCCACAGTGACGAGGTGTTCAGTTACAGCATCAATTTGGGTTCAAGAGGAAGAAAAAAAAAGAAACATAAAACATTACCCTGGACAGTTTTACTTTATCTGAAACCAGTCCTGGGTTTGAAGGTGTTCTAAGAAGTCCTTGCAGGGCTAGGCCTGGGGCAGACAGCAGGGAAGGCAGCCAAACAACAGAAAAGTTCATTTATCAATGGACCTGTGTGAGTGAACAGTATCTGTAGGGAATATTGACCCATTTTTTCAGAAATCCCTCAGAAAAGGCTAGTGACAAAAACAGGGACATGCACAGACAGAGCAAAGCTGTAGTTCAGGGTCTGCTAGCAAAGAACAGGGATGATGTGTCCCTTGGTATGGGTAGAAATCAGGTCCAGCCCCCCCATGGCTGGGGGCTCTGCTCATCCCAGAGAGGACCAGACTGTCAAGTCCTGCCAAAGCAATTGCCCTGCACAGTTTTCAACACTGATACAGCCATGCCAAATTTTGGCTTGGAGTGGGAACCTGGCACCACGAGGAGAGCTGCAGCATCCAAAAGAGATTGCCTGAGCAGGTCGAGGTCTTCTCAGACATATCCAGTTCTTTATAACACCCTGGTCTCATCCCTTATCATAAATGCTATGAGGGGCTTGACCCACACTCCCTGCTCCTAACAGGCTTTATCCATAAATTTTTTTTTCTTGCCTTGGGGCTTGCTCCAAAGCACAGTGAATTCATTGATTTACTGCTGTAATACAGGGACAGAGTCACCAGTCATCACAAGAAGAAAAGGGTCCAACAAGTTCCAACTCCCTGGAGCAGAGATGGGCCAGTATAACCCATTTATTGCAAGCAGAAACCTTGGATCATGTTAATGAAATGAATAGTTTCCCCCTTACTAGTTCAGACAGAGCTGAATGCCATCAAGCTTTGGCATGTAATGAGGTTCACTTCATTAACCATTGGCCACCACAGCGCATCCATCCCCATCAGTCTTCCCTGATTAACCTTCCTACTTAAGACAGGCCTACTTGTTGGAAATAAGCAGGCTCCATTAAACAACCCTCATTTAAGTACATGTATGATCTGGTGCCTTTCAGGACACTTGATATGACTAGCAGATGTGTGTCCTGGACAACATGGTCCTCCTGCTGCCTCCCATCTCTTGGAATGTCCCTCCCACCCTCTATATTGTGTCTCACGACTACTGTCAAGAGTTACTTTTCCTCTGTATCATCTTGTTTCCAACCTTCTGTTTCTTCTTTTGCCCAAGACCCACATCTTTCTCTCCCTTGCCCTCTTTTTTCAGTAAATGATGACTGCTCACCACTCCAAGAAGACCCCCAGGCTAGATGTGGCTCTGTGACACACACTGATTTCCTCCAGTCCTCATTTACAGGGCACTGGTGGTACAAGAAGCCTCAGAACTGGGCCAGAACTGTATGTCCTGCACTACACAAACAGGGCAAAGCATCATTCCTGACCCCTGTGACTTTATGCCCAGAGGGAAGCATGCACAATAATGCAGTACCACACTGTGCTTGATATTACCTCGAAGACTCTGATAGCTTTACAAAAAGAGGAAGTTTTCATTGTTAGCAAACCAATGTAATTTATTTAGAAGCAGTCATTTATGTTTACTGGGCTATGAAAGAACAGGAAGCGTCTGGCATCCACAGAGATCCAGATTGATCTCTCTGTCTCCTCTTGACAAGCAGCCAGTTTTGAGACCTATCTCGCCAGGCATACTAACACATCCACTTTTCATTTTCTACCCTGAGCTGCTGGGGAGACAGAGATTTGTTATATCCTGAGGGAAAGGGGGAAATCCCAATCATGTGAGTGGGATAAAACTGACCAGGAACAAAGATGGATGGTAAAAGTTAGGAAAAATTGAGTACAAGAAACCTAAACTACTGTCCTTTCAATGGTCCCATCTCCATGCTCACGTACACTTTTAAAGCAAAGTAAATGCCTAGGCAAGAGCAGAATCCCTGCACTGTAAATTTACACAAAGGCAGATGAGATTAGAATCTCGGCCATACACTGTAAAGCTATCATAACTACAGAAATGAGAAGTGTATTATTAACTATCACTTTTTACTATGTAGAACTACAGCAAAGTTATTTGAAGCATAAAAATTCTGGCAAAGGGCTGCCATATTTAATAAATCACCGAATCAATTATTCACTGTGAAAATCAATTACTTACTTCAAATGAGAATCTTATGAATAACCTCATGCCCTTTCATGCCATCTAAGAAAGTTATAAGGGAATTAGTTGGTAAAAATTGCCTCACTTATCTTTTATGTGCATGAAAAAGACCACACAAATACGGGGAAATTCTGCCAACAGAATAGTCCAGAATCATTTTAATGGAGTCAGGGAATTGCTGTGGACTGACACTACAATCAAAGACAGAGTATGACCCATTGGGGCACCACCTATGATCAGTTATCTGGGTGCAATTCAGAAGCAATTCCATGCCATTCCACAAATGTGAAATCAGAATATAACCAGTCAACTACACAACCTCCTCTACAACGTGACCTACATTAAGTACGTACTCACAGGAACACAAAGTGTATCTTCATAGGTCAGGAAATATTGCCACGAATCTCTGTGGAGACACTTTAGAGTGAATATTGCATGGCCTTGCAGCAGCTCCCCCCGCTCCTGCTTTTAAAGGTTTGCTGATACGTGACCGTTTTCAGAAAAAGCTGCAATTCCCAGCGCAGGCTGCTTCCTCCCACCTACAAAACCAAACCACTCCAGGACCCCAAGAGTGAAAAGTACTTACTGAGCTGTAGAGATATCCCTCAGCGTTCATGGCAACGTACAGACCTGCCTTCACCCCTTGGATTGCCACCACGCGAAGACCCACAGGAATTAGATTGAAAAGGGCTGTGGAAGGAAAAAAAAAAAGCAAATATTATGGAGACATCATCCTGCATTGCCACTGCAGCTTTTGCTCCAAGGCCAGCTCACCCAACTCCTGACACTTCACAAAAGATACTGAACTAGAATTGGGCATCCTGCTTCCAGCTACAGGAAAGGACTGCAGCCATGGAGCCGATGGTGAAAGGAAATATTTTAAAGTACTGAATTTGGCTGCCTCCCAAATGCCATAACACACCCATCAGTCTGCCTGATCACTGCCTTTGCAATGCCAAGGGCTCATACGTGCTCACAAGCTAGCACATTTCAATGGCTTTTTGAGGGTCAGCTGAGCTGGGGTAACTGTACATCTACATGACTTTGCCTATGGCAAACGTAACAACATGACTTAGTTTAGTTCACCCTGAAACACATTTAAGCCTAGTCACACTTTCCTGCATTTGCCATATGCTAAAAGAGTACACAGACAGCGACCATGGCCAGAAGGATGCAAATTAACTTGACTGTGTGTTTTGCCCATGTGATCCTGACTGTCAAGGGAATGAAGAAACTCAGGAAGAGACAGTTCTCCACTTTGGGACCTGAGCACTGTTACTCTCTCAGGAGCAGCACTGAATAGGGCAGAAGAGGACAAGATCTTTCAATATTCAGTTTTACTGCAATCTTATTGATTAAGATATCACAATCACTTCCTTCCAATTACTTACTTCATTGCTTGATTCCCACCCAGTAGACCTTGTATCTCATTGAAAGACTCTTCCCATTAATGTACTCTCAGGCTTTTGCTACATTTCTAACAGCACAGGCTCAAAGAGGAGAGGACTGCTAGCACTGATAGACTGGGCACTGAGGCATTAGTATGGCCTTATTTCCACTGAGGTTTATAGGACAAGAGTATTTAGATGTTGTAGGACTCTGTGTGCTTCAGACCTGGTCCCAGGAAGCTCAGGATATGCAAAGATGGGTATGGGGTCAAGCACACACATAAATACAAACACAATGGAAATATGACACTCAAGGTATCTTCCCACACAACAGCCCTGAAACAGAAATATTTTTTTTAGTTCCACAGTCATGAGGTCAGACTGCCCCTGTCATGTTCATGAAGCATTTCTCATAGCCTTTTAACCCACTCATTTGCAAAAGCTTGAAACTGCTTGAAACTTCAAGAGCTTTGGGATGTCCAAATGAGCCCAGGGGAGACCTGTGAATGGGCAGAGTGCAGAGGAAAGCCTGGGGGACACAGCATGCAGTGAGGCATTCCTATTTTCCAGCTGACCGTTAAGGACATCATCCTCTAGCTGATGCATTTTATAGATCATTTACAAAGTTTTATGCCTGACACATCACACTGGAGCAAGCACAGCACAAAGAAGTCCTTGGATAACAGTTGTGGGAAAAACAGTCCTTCTCCCTACACCATCTCACAGCTTCTCCTTCCCTGGGAGATGGACCACTGCAGATTTAGCATCAGGATAAAGCAGCTTTTGCTGACATGGCCTATTCAAAATGCTAGAGCCCCTCAGGCCAGGCTGGCATTATTCCTGGTATGACAGGAGGGAACTGAGTTCAGCTCAACATTAAACACCTGCCCTGAAAAGATTGGTTCAGTCCATGTGTGTGTCAGGTAATGCATAGATTTATCTCAACTGCAAAATGCTTCCCAAGAACCTCCCTCATGTACAGGCTGTGAATTACTGCAGAGGAGAGAAGACAGAAGTGTGTTTGAATCCCTTTCCAAAGAGAAAAACCCAAAAACATTTATAGCCAACAGGCTAGAGACAGAGGGAGGCAAAAAAAGAAGAGCAAAAAAAGAATGGAAACTGTGGCTTGATTCTTTCCTTGCAGCCAGAGGCTCAGAAGGCCAAGTCTGAACTGAAGTCCTGAGGATTTGCACAATTTAGAAGACAAAAACAGAGCCCAAAGGGTATGCAAAATGTAACAGAAAAGGTTACATTTGACCCAAACTGTTGGTGGATTTGCTTAAAGGTCAGAGGTGGATAGCTTTTCAGAAGTAAAACCCGAAACAAGCACAAGAGACAAAGCCACTTTGCTCAAGATATCTACCAGGTGTCTTAGCTAAGCTGATTTCAGGGTTATCTCCAGAAGGGGATTCATCAGTACCAGTTTCAGCTGAATACCATTTTTTCCTCACTTAATTCCCAAGAAAGACTGGATGACTAGCCTTGGTGAGCTGCCTAAAGGGGAGTTACCTTGAAGCTAGGGAAAACAAAACCTACCCTCAGCACTTACTGTACTTTTAAACACCGTATTCAGTAAAACATCAAAGCATGTGCTGAAGTCTTACCAAATCCAGTGCCCATATTTGTGATTTTGTGAGAGAATGTCAATAGATGTATACAGCAAATGCAGTCCAGCCTGGGTATTGGTCTCTGAACAACTGGAGTCAAGGACAGTGCTACTCTGCTATTGTCCCTGGATGAGACGAACACACCACAGAGTAACTCGGCATTAAAAGTGTTACCTATCCCCTTCTCCCTACCATGAAGGTCTAAAACCTTCTGCAATTAACAAGTCTATAAGCAATTCCCCTTCCCTATTTTTTCCTCCTACTGAAAAATGGAGCATATTACTGCTAATAATGAAACAAAATGGGCATCATCATTCATTCCCTACAGCCAATTTGTCTTGCATAGAAAACGTGTGACAGACCATTCAAAGCATTCATTAGGCAGTGAGGTGATAATACCCAGAATTAGTGGGTGAGAAGTTCCACTTGGAAGCACCCACGTCTCCAAATCTCTTTTTCCACCTATACATGCAAAGGGAGCATGGGAAGAATCCTATTGTGCTGTATTACAGTAGGAAGACCACTGCCAGTTTCCAAGCTCCATGGGACCCTGCTGCACCCACGATCATGGCAGAGCATCTCCTGCAACATGCCATAGAGCAGGGGAGCAAGTGGGCAGGCAAGCATGAGGACACACATCCTGACACAGCCAACTGGTGGCCAAAAACATTTTAGGAAGCAAATGTCTTCCTCTATTGAAAAAGAGTAGTTTGGGTCAATCAAGATTTTGTAAAATCTTAGAGCTGTCTCTGCACTCAAATCTAGAAATATCTTTGAAAAAGTTGAAGTTTTTTGTTATTATGCTTCCAAATGAATTTTTCATCTTGGTTTAGAACAGATTTAAAACCTTGTAAGTTTTATTGTAAGAATGTAAAAATGTGGGGGCAAAACCCCACAACCAATCTCAAAGCCTCATTTTTTTTCTCAGGCATTAAAATCTGATTAATTTGAAATTAGATTTGAGGATGGGGAAGAGGACTAGCTGTAGCAGAGTAGAACTGGACACAGAGTGTGCTCATGTGAAAAAGAAAATTTAATAAATGCTTTTCAAACCCTCTAATGCAAATGTTACATTTTCTATGCCATCTGCAGCAGCTTCATAGAATGGACATGCTCCTTTACTTATGGGAAGAAGAGAAAAAAATTAAGACATTGAGCATTTCTGCCCCTTTTTCTTCATTACATCTTACCATTTTCAACCATCAGTAGATTTACACCTGACCCTGCTTATTGATACTACTTTTAGCACATTCCAGTCCTAAAGGGAAGTGCATTTGCTTAGCTCAAAGAATGGAAAGCCACAAACAGACTCTTCTCAGAGGAACACAATGAAAGGACAAGAGGCACTAGACAAAAGCCTCAGATAGAAATTATGACTGGATATAAAGAAAATAGTCTACAATGAGAACAGTGCAGCACTGGAACCTGAGAGGTTATGAAGCTATTGAATAGTTAATTCCTGGAGACATCTGAAACAACTAGACAAGGCTCTGTACAGCGAAAGATAACTCACCTCTAAGCAGGATGTTGGAATAAAAATCTCCTTAATCTTTTTGTGTTTCTGGCTGGAAGCCCCAAACAATATCCTAGATATGCTGGGCTGTTTCCACCTGGTCAGTACAGTTCACCTATCCTTTATGTACTGTCTATTTGCCAAGACTTTTCAGATGTGCAGCAGGATTATGGTGGCAAATGAAGAAGTCCAGTTGTTGTCACGGAGGGACATTACACAGCTCAGCTCAGGAAAGAGCAATAACAATGCAAGCACTGACAGCAGCAGTCAGTCCTGAAAGACCATTTGAGATCACTGGAACTGATACTACCCTAGGTTCAGGTTCATACATAACATTATGAAGACAACAAACAGGGGCCTCGTATACCACGAAACCGCACTCCAATTGAAAGAAAATTCTTCATATATCCCAATGCCAGTAGCCAGAAAATGCATCTCCTTGCTCAGATGAAGATGGTGTGCCTTCAGTGGCATGGTGTAAGGAACAGATGTCCCAAGTGCTGGGCGCGGGAAGCTGGCTGGATGCCTGTTCAAATGCCATTAGAACTTGCCTTCTGATTATTTTTTTTCTTTAAGTGAGAGAAGGTGGAAAATAAATGCCATCAGTTTCTCAAGAACACATACAAAATGGGCACCAGATAATTAATTTAAAAATTGCTTAAATATTAGCAGTTCCTCTTGTATAAATAACTGGGTTTTTATTAGAACTTTTAATTGCATCAGATGTATCTGAGGGACATGTCGTGGCTCATTTTGAACGTTTATTTTGCCAGAGTAAACCAACCTAATGTTTTCCATGAAAATTAAGCTTCCTTTCATAATGCTAATTTGAATAATCAGTGTGTGGATACAGAACACAAAGCAATGTATGGAACATGGTGTTCACCACCTATTTAACTGTGCTAAGATGACTTCTGCACGGAGAATAGATGACCATCCAGGGCACGAAGGATTCTGCTGTGGCCATCAAGAGTGCCCTTCACTGCCAGTGGATGTGTTAACCAGCTCCTCTCCAAGGACAGGGAAATATTATTTATCTAGTCTTGGATGAGTTTTGCCCTCTCAAAGACTTCTGACCAGCTGAGCAGGAATCTCCTGGAGAACTACTTTAAAACAGAAGCCAGCAGTGAAGTAAACCTGTTAGTTGTTCACTTAGGCAAGTTTTGACTTTCTTCTGGTAAAAAATTGAGATGTTTGGAGGAGCAGAGAAGAAAAAAAAAGTCAGTCTGCTTTATTTTGGCATTTCCAAAGTGAAAAAAATGTGATTTCGTTTTGAAGCTGTAACTGGAAGCTTCATATATTATAAAATGTTCATTCAAACTGAAGATTTATGAAGGAGAGCATGTGGTAAAAAGTTAAACAAAATTGAATAAAGCACAGTCTTAATTTCATTTTCAGGAGCCAAATATTATCAGGTTGGTTTATTTCCTCTTTTGAGATCCCCTGAGATCAGGCAATGGGGAATTCTTTGGCTTCAATCTTCTTTCAAAAACTTGCCTAAACTTTCCAACATAGTGCCTGACTTTGTGCCAGTAGCTTGGCAGACTGTAGCAAGATGCCTCCTGTCCCACCAAGCTGCCGAGGCAGGGCTGCCATCTCACCAGATAAATTTACACTCTAGAAGTGCCCTTCAGCCCACCTATTTCCAATTCAGAAGGGTGGAAGTGACTCTCAAGTACTCAGCACCTTACCAAGCTTGTTTCCAACATTTCTGATGGGATATATAAATCAGAGCTGTTTGGGCAATTGGGGGCCAACCTCAGTCATGGGAACTCAGGAGCTTCCCTTGCACCCACTCAACAGCAGCTTCCTTCATCTCCCCTGTCAGCCTGAAATATTACAGAATTGCTCTTACATTTTATTCTCCTCTGCTGTTTACCTAAATTCATCCCTGCTCCCATTTAAGCCCATTACTTTGTTGTTCAGTCCTCCCTGATAGATGAGGGTAATGAATCCCTGTCATCTCTAGCATATCTTCCCCTGTTTTTGACAAATAGGCCTCCAATGGGATTTTCTGCAGCTTGAGAACACCCTATGTCTTCTTTAAGAAAAAACAGCTAATATAACCTAACACTGGGTCATTACTCACCCACTAAAGCCCACTGAACTCACCCCATGTGTTGGTGTCTGCCTGAGAGTATCTCAGGGCCAGAATCCTCTTGTGGAAGGAGACTTGCTCAGTCTCTGAGAGTAAAACTGTGTGTGTGTAGGTCCATAGACTCTCCTGCTCCACATAAATCAGAAATTGTGCCATTACAATCTGCAGTATTTAATTTGTTCAACACCAGTATATGAGAAAAAAGACTAAAACCTGACACTTGCATGTGCTACAGGCCAAGTTTCTGGTGGATGCAGCCTCCTGGGTCATTCCACAAAGGCTTTGCTAGCCACCCGCAATTTCAGTTATCTTCTCAAAGCTCCTCTCTCATGCACAGAACCCCAGCAGGGCAGCCCCACCATACACAACGCTCCTACTGCAGCACCCTGCCAGCATCTTAGGGATGGGGTAAACACCATGGATGTAGTGCTGCAGTCACCTTACACCCTTGTCCAAGTGCACCTTCATGGGACAATGTCAGTATCCTGCTACATGTGCTGCACCCCTACAGACACCCCCTCACTCACCACCCAGGACATGCCTCCCTGGAGAAATGCTGCCTTCAATCCAACTAAGAGCTTCTTTGAATTAGAGCAAGGTTTGTCCCTAGATTAAGCAGGGTCCTCCTTTCACACCAAGTTTGCTTCCATCAATCCTAGCAGACAGATGAACCTTTGCTGATCTCTAGTAATGACTGGGAAGACACCTAGATATGATGTTCCTTCAGCAGTGGTATGGGGAGCTCCCAAACAACATAGGATATGACAAAGCAAGACTTGATTCCTACTCTGTTGATGCAGTTTGTGATATCAAGCATCTGAGCTTCACAGTCCACTCAGAAGTATCAATCTGATGCCTGTGAAATGCAGAGGTACTTCAGAAAATATTCTATACCTTTTTTAACATTTTGAGGAGCTTTGGTATTGACAAATCAACTTCTTTTGCAAAAGGAAGATTGACTACTGCTTTGCATGTATTTAGACCAATATGGTTCCTGCATGTGAGCATATTTTTAAATCCGTATGGCTCTGCTGCACTTTGCTGTCTACTCTGCACTGTCCTTAGCTGGCCAACATCAACCCAACCCATTTGAACAGGATTTTGGAAGATGACCTCCTTTGACAAGGTCGCTCCACACTCTCAGCCTTTACACTAGCCTGAAAGCACGAGACTTCAGTGAACAGCTGCTTTTCTCCAGCCTAGAAATTCCTGATGCTTGCTGAATTTTTGAGGATAAAACAGTGAAAACAATTTTCTCCTCTTCTCCTTGGAGAGAGAATTCCCCGTATCCTTTACCCACGTGGCATATGTATAAATATAATCTCCTTTCTCTTCTGGCAGCAATTCAAATCATGGGTTTTATTCTCCACCCCACCCAGATGGCAGTTACAGAATCGGGGCAGGAGGGAAGAAGATCGGAGAGGAAACATATGAAATTATACAGGCAAGATTTAAAGGGGAAGGACAGAGAGAAAAAATGTGCAGAAAACAGCTGGCTTCTCCCAATTTGATATTTTCAAAAAAGAAGCTGCACAAGTGAGACCCACTAGGTGATGCATTTGATTGTAACTGGGTTGCAAAACAGGCTAATTTTTCTTACTGTAGTCACTGTTTTCGTCCTTGGTCCCATCAATTGTACCAGCTGGGTGCAGCTGCAGGAAGTATTCCTGATGGCTGAATAACCTTGTCCCAATTCCTTTCAGCTGGGGTTCTGCAAAATAATAATAATAATAATTATTATTAGATATACCAAGTAGCAAGAGACCAAATTTACTCATCCCCCATCAAGCCCTGAGCAAATGTCAAAGTGCTTGGCAGACAAGACAGCTTTCTGTGACTCCTTTCAAATGTGGTTGTAAAATATTCATATATACGCAGACGTAATAAATAAAAGGCAAATAAAATTGAGATCAGATGAGCAGGTAGAACACAATGTATAGTTGGTGCAGCAGAAACAGATTATGGAACATCGCTTCACTGAAAGTTACCTACCAGATGGAAGACTTTAGACAGTTTATGTATTCTGAATATGCCACTTGTTCAGAAGAATCTTTGCTAGCAGTGTTGCAAAGAATGTGTCTATTGTTTCTTATTCTGCCTGTGAAGCCAACTACCTTGCTTGCTGTATGGTTGATTCACTATCATGCAGTCCCAGTTTTATGCCAAAGAAAATCTATTTAAATCACTGGTATTATAGTGGTGTAAACCCCTAGTAACTGAGTGCTCAATCAAGCTGCATGAGTCCAATGTGTGGGACTTGGGGAGCAAAATTCCAAAAGGAACAGATGCAAGACACCTCCAAAACTGACCTCTGAAGTGTTTACGGGCACCACAAAACGCCTCTGTTTGAAAATCCTACATGTGCTCCCCCCTCCCAAAACGTGTGCCACACACTCTGGTTTATCTGAATCTTTGTCTCTAGCAGGGTCCTTTCCCAGCCCCTGTGTATCACGAGCCAGCCATGCCCTGCCTAGGGGCTTCTCTACTGCCTCTGCAACATTTTTGAAGAAGAAAAGGAAAACATGGAAAAAGCACAAACAATTGGAACTTCACATGACAGAGATGTGCAGCTTTTCCACCTTTCTCTGTCATCCAACCAATCAAACAGAAATTAAGTGGTCAAACATCAATTCAGTTGTAATCATGTAAGTCTTAAGATTTCTCAGAGGCACTGCTGCTGGAAAGCAAGCTAGCTGGCTACCCAGGAGCAGGCACACTCACTGGAGGCAGAGATCCTCCTTGTGTCACAGGAGGTTGTGGTTTTATGTGACCACCCACCAAAAGTAAATAAATAAGACCTAGTTATTGCTGGCTCAATGGCCAGGAAAAAATCCAGTGTAGCATACTGAAATCTCGTCAGGCTCCCATCTCCCATGCCTCTAGTGAGGCTGTTTAATAAGCCATAGTTGTTATATAACTGCGGTCACGTTGTGTGTTAAGTGTTCCCATTAGGAGCCCCTGTCTCGAACAGTGCTGCACTGTGCTGGACAACTCCCCTCTGAGGGAACCCTCAGCCTCCTGTCCTGAACTCACAAACCCCTGGCAGCAGTGGGGACTGCAGATGCAGCCAGGCTGCAGGTGCAAAGGATCTCAGCTTCGGCAGCCAGGGGAGAGTCAGGTACTATTTCATAGCTACAACAGCCACAGCATCAGCTGGTTTCCATGCTGCTGTACAGAAGTGATTTCAGAGCAATGACTGCTGCAGGCAGGGTTTCTCCTAGCAAGACTCAACTCTGGGACAGTAAATAAGTACAATGGTGTTGGCCAGTTAAGAGCTAATGCCGGTTAAACCAATACATGTTAAATTGACACTTGGACTGAGCCAAGTGTTTTGCTTTCTTCTTACCTCAATGAATTATCTATTTTGTTGAATGCAGAAGCTTGATTTAACTTGCTTTTCATTAGAAAAGCACATCAAAGCTAGAGGAAATGAAAAGCAGTATTCTCAGGCACAGATGACTGCACCACCCTCCTCGAGCCCGTCCCCTTCCTCCCTTTTATCTAATACCACAATAGTAAAGGCACTAATCGGCACTCTCTGATATAAGACACCTACATTTGAGTCCCTGAATGAATCTTAGCCTCAATTTTACTCCCTGGTTAAATTTTAATGTTTAAGTACTTTGCACAAAATGGAAGAGCTCCCAGAAGGAGAGATTTAGAAGATGCTCCTGCAGCCTGAGGCTTTCTGTATGCTGGGGAAGGGGGGAGGTCTTGTCTTAAAGCCCCTCAAGGATAAGAGGAGTGGAGATATAAAACTACCCTAACCTTGTCTCTTTTCTTGGGAAGATGATTCAACTACAGGATAGAAGGCCCTTTCCTCCTCCTTTAGGGTTCAAACTATACTTCACGCAATTCAAACAACAGGAAAATCTCTTCCACTTTTACCAAATAGCCTAGCAAGTAAAGTATTGAGCAAATCTGCTCATTATTAGAATCTTTATGTCATTTCTAGAGTTTATCAGAACAGCACCCAAGATCCCTTGAGGTCCCTCTGCATCTTCGGTATCGATGCAAACACTGTTACAACAGAGTAAACACAGGGCAAAGCCCCAGGGTCCCTTTCTGTTACTGATCTGACACAGACACGTGGTCAGCTTTAATAACTGCCCTTTTCATAATCCCAGGCTTTTCTGAGTCACTGCCTTCCTAGGGACAGGTTGGAGGAGAAATCTTACATGTGGGTTTTTTAATCACACAACCTGGTTTTGCCTCAGTTTGAAGCTCATGCCTAAACTCAAAAGCAAAACTCAAAGGAAGTGAAGCAGATATACACAAACCATACACAAACCCACCACATTCTTCATGGACCCAAGACAGTCTGACAGCAGCAGAGCTCCTGCCTCTCCTCACAGCACAGATCCACTTCTGCAGGAGACTCATTTAGGATGCTCTGTAACACCAGCAAACAAATGCCTCTTCCAGACATCAAAGGATCAGAAAGCACTTTGGAGACATACAGGTCTCTGCTTCCCTGGCTTTTGCATTTCTTGGAGTCTCTTTCTACAGGACAGAAATACTGGTGAACAGCTGCACCTTTAGGTACCTACCTGAACTAAACACAGAAGCAGCACAGGGAGGCACACAGACAGCACCACGTTCTCTCCTCTAACACAAGGAGGGTTGGGCAATGGGTGATGTCTCACACGGTACAGCTGTCTCTACACCTGAACTGGGCTCTCTTTGCATCCCCAAAACCAACAGGCAAGCCAGGCCAGGTCCATAGGGTCTCCAGTGACTGCAAAGAGACCAGCTCAAACATAAACGCGGATGCAGGTGACTAACAGCTGGTAGAGTAGCTGCTTCCCACCAGGGAATCTATTATCTTTATATCTGGACATAAAGTGGGATACTGGGATTTGCCATTCATAAAGGAAACAGCATGGCTGGGAGGCCTACAGACTAAATTTTAGGTGAAGCCAACTTTTAACACAGAACAAGGATTTACCCATCTTCCTCACTCACCACAGAACTATTACCTGAAAAGAGAACTGTAAAATCACAGAACAGGCATTTTTCTACTAGCCCAGAGGCAAAACTCTCTACATGACTTTTAAGAGATCTACTTTTGTCATATCATATATTTTAACATCACTTCTTTCTATGTACAGAGAAATTTTATCACAGTCTTCCAGCATTGCTACCCCTTATGCTGCAGCAATCGTGTTGAAAACCTCAGTTTATAGAAAAATCTCAAAACCAGTAAGTCTCCTTGTCAAGGAGACACCCTGGTAAGCCAGTACAGAAAGCAGAAAGACAACAAAATAGACTGAGAACTTTTCACTTATGCAACAAAAAAAGAAATCGAACAACCCTTCCCAGCAGGCGATGTTTACAGTGCTTACTGGAGCACTGGGGGAAAAAATTTAAAATAAACCCCCACAAGCTTGGTACTTTCATTTGTCTAAACTTCCCTCAATGATACTGCTCCAGGCTACAATCAATAAGAGAAAGAAGCAAACTTTAGAAAAAAAAAAAGAAACAAATGCAGTACAGAGAAGCACAGACCTTACTACGAGCATTTTCTTTCTATAATTCACAGAATTTACGATGAATCAAACTTAAACCTACTCTCTAACCTCAGCCTTGTGCAGCAAGGGCGACTCAAATCCTCTTGCTTTTAAAGGAGCAACACTGCACAATGCACTTGGGATAAACCTATTCCTCCCACTCAGGCTCCTCCATACGTGCTTCTATTTTGCTGTAGGAGCAGCTTTCCCTGCAGAAATGGAACTGATGTGGACAAGACTTCAACACCAACTTAGTGTCCCCCTAAACACAAGCTAAGTACTTCAGAATGGATTTAAGAAAGAAGTTATTGATGCCTTGATCCCAAATTACTGACTAAACAGAAGAGATGTCCATGCAGTTTTTACTCTCAGTACAGACCTCATACTACTAAGTTTCCCATGTGATATGTAAATGGATATTTTTACCCCTATTTTATAAGCAATACTGTTATACTTTAGTATGCTTACTTTAAAGATCCTGTTATGGTCGCTCATACAGAGCTGTCCAGGGCTGGGGGATGCTGAAGCAAGCTCAGTGGACCATCTCCTTATGCAGATGCAGCAAACTCAAATCTTTCAAATGTGGTAATTACAGAATATGTGAGGGAAGATCATGCCCAGGAAACAGCCACAACAAGCACAGCTACAGTGCAGAACAGACCAGTAAGAGTAACATGGAGCAAGAAATAAGCCATGACTCTCTGCCTAGTCCAAGACACTCTCCCTAGGGTGAAGGCACAGTTCCCACCTAATGACCCTTCTTAGTGCAGTCATTCAGTGGCCAACTCACTGCACATCCCTGAAGGGCATCCTGCTTGCTCCCCTTTCCACAGGCCAATCTCTCCACTTCTGCCTGCTCTGCTTTTAACTTTCTGAACTCTTTGACACCACTGAGGCTAACTAAATCATGATCTGACTGCTAATCTTCTTGTCTCTACTTAAATGGTAATGTGATGCTGCCATTATTCACTTCAGCTGTCCTGCTGCTGAGCCTTGAAGCCATCTCAGTTCACCATGAGCTGCTGTGCTTCCTGCCTTATTGTACAGCTACACAGTGATTTTCGCTCTCCTGGGGCTTGTCAAGGACATGATAGTTGCAGGGTGCTCACAGGTACTTTGTTTGATCTCCAGGGACATGCTCACTGAAGACCATGTCCAAATCAGCCACTCTGCAGTCACGTCCCTCACCCTCAAACCACAGGCATTGCTGAAGGTATTTGCTGTATGCTATAGGGAACAGAGCAAGAACACTGACAGAAATATCACTGGCTCTTTAACGACCTTTTCTTTTAGTTCTCCTATTTAAGGTGAATAAGGAACTTACCCCATTAACTGGAACAAGGAGAACAAACAAGCAGAATAACTGCCCTTGATGCAGAGAGGAACTATGA